CGGAAGTTCGAATGAATTTAAAGTTGATTATCTATTACACGATTTCGTGACTTGTGCTTACAGAGATTTTTGTTTGGTGCCGTGAATTGTTGATTTCCTCGATTCTTCGGTTCCGTCTTTGCTTTTTGTTCATTTGAAAGTTGATTTCGAAAATTGAAGAATGTTTTAGGGTCGCTAGTTGGTGGAATTGGAATTTTAGTAAGAATAATGTCTGGCTGGAAACTGCTGCCTGTAAGGTGTTTGCAGAAATTCCTCTGAGAAATTAACTAGTAGCTCCGTTTTGGTGGAAGAAGCATGTAACTTGTGGTTCTGCCATTCTTTTCTTTGAATTTTACAGTGGTTTTGGATTTGATTGTTTAGACTCGAGTTACAAAAGGAAGCATTTTTGTCGAACACTATTACTGTATTACAGAGTAGTCGGAATACGTTTTACGTCTTGTTAGCTTAGGGTTTAGCTTTCCGCTTCATCCATTGATTTTGTTTAGCATGATGCTTTATGATTTTGCTGTTTTCTTCATTATGCCTAATCTCTGATTCCTGGAAACGTATCGTTAAATGTCAAGATGGAGGTACTTAGTGAAATCTTGAAGAACAATAGGACGGAAGATATCTCTTGGATATGCTCTCTCTCAGAATCTGAACTGGTAAACGCTTAGGAAGCTATAAATTTCCTTTCTCTCGGTAAGTTAAGCAAACATTTATATAAGAAATATCAATTTTTTTATCTCCTCTGAACTTGTTTTGTAGGATTTGCTCATCAGCTTAAAGAAGCTAGCCATTCAACGTGCCAAAATAACTTGTCACGAAAAACTAGCTGAGAAATTTGATCTTAAGATGCTCCGAGCTCTCGGTATGTCTTGTATTGTCCTCTTCTAACTTCCGAGAGTTTTAAAATTGTTGAACAATCATGGAAATTGTTATTGTCTATTAGACATCTGGAATGTTCTTTAAAGCTTTCCATCTTTGACCTTAAGAAACAAGTACTATGATATTTCGCAGGGTTTTTGCTAATGGACTATGTAAGCAAAAGGGTACAAGATGGTACTGCTCTTGCCGCAAGTGTTGTTCATCAGCTAAGTTTTTTGGATAACTGCAATTTGTTGAAAACACATGTAGATGATACTATAGACATTGAGGAGAGTCTGACTGAAATCTGCAACAAGAAGTCAAGAAAGAAATCACGGAAAAGGTTGGTAGGGAATCTAAACACTTAGTGGAAAGCGCGAATTTATTTGGATCTACCTTGTCATTGTCTCTTCAGTGCTAAGATTTTTATGCATCCATCTTGTGTTTTTGAAGGAGGAAGTAAAATTAGTTGCCCAGTTGGGGTAATTTGACTGCTTAAAAATGAACAGCAAGAGGAAGAACTTGGGATGTCCGTCAGCCGTACTGGTTTATAGTCAGGATATGGCCCCATCCTTGTGCTTACTTAGACTACATAGTTGATGTAGCAAAATTAGCTAAAGAGAACAGAAAGAGACAAGTTGGCAAGATCATATGCAAGGATGTAAGGGCTGTAAAAGAACTATAGCCCTGTTTTACATTTTTGCTTTTCCAATCGAGGTTTTAGTGCCCTATAAACAGTTTGTAATGAATTCCTTTCGCTAATATATTTTTCAGATGATAAAAAAAGTGGTCTCAGCTAGGATTCACAGCTTCTACAACCATATCTTCTTTTTTTCCTTCTAAAACAACTATTTGGTGAACTTTGAAGAGAGTACGTTTTCTCTCACAACAGATATACTAAAACTACAACAGAAAGTTGAGATGATTCAGCCCTCG